CCTGTGTCCTTCAAGAAAACCTATCATTATTACCCCGTGGGAACCCTAACATCACTCACCAGAACTCTCGAAGTGGACTTTTTGGCTTTGAATCAAATTGGAAACCACCACTTTGGTTTCCTTTTTTTTAATGGTACCCTCAGGAGATTGAAACAGGTGGCTATAGTACACAATGCTGCAATGAATACTGGTGTGCAGCTCTCTTTGAGTCGTTGCTTCTAAATCTTTATGACTTACACCTCAGCGTGGAAGTGCAGGTTCATATGAATCTAATTTTAGGTGTTCTGAGGTCCTAACTAGACTTTTAATGAAGGAAAGACAATAATGAGAACAATATGGAAGATCAGTGATATCTTCAGAATCTTTTCTTTCTGGCAAAATGCAGAATTTTATAGTTACAGCAAGTATATGTTTATTCCCAGTTCTACAACTATCGATTATTGTAACTTGAAATTAAATTCATGCATAATCACACATTGCAAACAAATGAAATACAATCATGCACAATCCAACCAGGTCAATCCACTTTAAATTGCACCTAAAACTGACTTTATGTAATCAATTATAAATGCTTTATAATCTTGATAGAAAGATTTCCAGATTTGTGAAAGGACAACTTAAAATGGAAAGGATCATAAAATCTTAAAAAATCTCATGCACAAAATGTGCAAAAATAATTTAGAAGAAAGTTTACTTTTTCAGCCAAATACAGCATTCTCAGCAACAGCTGCATCTGATCCAGATATTTTGTTATTTGGAATCCAATCAACAGAAAAATGTCGTTTCTAACTGGTTGGATCATGAACTGATATCCATTCCAACTGGTTAATGTAGATTGTTTTTAGTTGCATTCTTGACCATTTCTAATTAAGGTGACATCTAATTATAATAATATAACTACTTGGAAAGTTGTTAAAGTACATACCAGGAAGGACCATGCCTAGAGAAATACAAACACAATTAAGAAGCATGTTTTTTAGCTCTCTAACCAAATAATCTTAAAGCAACAATGTCAAAGTATAAATTCCTATTATGAAACCTCACATCTGCAACATAAAAACATTTTGAACTTTTTGCTGCAGCTAGATTGGAAAATAGAGGCTATATGACAGCAAAAAGCAGATGAGTTATCATTTTTAAACTGTTATTCAATATAGCCTCCAAACATTGTTCAGATGATTATTAGTTTTTAAATAATTATGCAAATAGCTCCTCCAACTTCAGCAAGAAGTTGTCCCTTGCAAACATGTGATATTACAACCAGGATTTGGGAAGAGGTATAGATACAAAATGCTCTGGAATATGTGTATATTACAGAATAGCTACATACATGGAATACATACGTACGTGCATGTGTGAGGAGCACATGAAAAATCCCTGAGACAATGCAGGGTAGATATGAGTTATGATGATTGATAAGTAAGCTCTGGTAAGCCAAGGGTCTTTCTGAAATGCTATTTAATCTGTGAGATGAAAATCTCAAGTTGTAAGGCATTGCCAACTATCATCATGAGCTATGGGAAGAGGTCCCATTTTTTCATCAGTCTTTGAGCTCTGATTCTGCCTTTATGCCCTATTTTCCAAGCAGAGGCACAAGGCCAGAACATAAACTTCTTTCCCAAGCAAGAACATCTGATTTTTTTTCCCTAAAAGACTGGCTCTCTGCTCAATATTACAAATTCAGTGTGACTCCACTGCCACTCCCATGCTTGCTTTATGCGACAGTCCCCACGTTCCTTTGGTAGCCTCAGGCAGTTCTAGGAGGGTCTGGAAGTTTTCTGAGTACAGCCTGCTTCCAACCTTGACCAGGTCAGTTTCTAAGCGTCACACAGCTTATGTCCAGAAAGCTCTTTTAATGTTCCACAGCTGGAATTCTGTGGATGCAGCCATGTTCCCGTATTTCAGGTATGGGCGTGAACATTGACATTTTAGCACCCACCAGTGAAGCAGTTGCTACAATAATAATCTCAGAGGAACCTGAAGGGTGGGAGGCACCGTGGGTGTGTTAAACTCATTAATCCTGGCTACCCCAGGATGGCCTCTGGTGGACAGCAAGAGTGCTTCTGGGTAATGTGTTATGAACATGGATGCCAGCAAAAGGCAGGTGGAGGTAAGCAGTCTGAAATGTCTCTTGGTTTTATGTGTAAGAAAAGAAACGTCCTTTTCAGTGGCTTAGGCTTTAC